CGTGAGGAGTGAAATGATGTGAAGTATATATGAAATAATTCATATTTGAACTGCGGTTGTAGATGAAAGTGAAGAATGATCATCGCAGTAAATTTACTACGATGATCATTCTTCACTTTCATCTACAACTGCAGTTTAAATATGAATTATTTCATATATACTTCACATTAAATACAATTGTACTTACAATTACAATGTGAATGAATTCTCAGAATTTCGTGGTTGAAAAAGAAAACAAAAGAAAACAGAAAAAACACAAATGTCCACGCACAGACTGCATAGGACACAGAGAGTGGATTAGTATAAAGATATACCGCACAATCCGTGAGTAATTTTTATTTCTGATCTCTTCCTACGCAAGGATGACAAGATTGCCATAAATAAATAATGACCTAGCTGCAAAACCCAATTAAATTTAACAAAAAAATATCTAAGAACAGACGAATAATTTCAGTTTCATAGCTTAAACTGTTACTCATTCAAACTTTAACAATGATACGCTGTAAGCCGTGAATAACTGTGATATCTACCAGACAGAAAGTGGAACAGAAAGTTCTGTGGTATGAAGTATAAACCAGCTGGCTTTCGCAAACAAGTATTAAAGCTTATCTTGCAAGTTGAGCATATTTAGCACGTACAAAAATAAAATTGACTTTCTCACCCTCAATGAAAAATACTTCTTGGCTTGCTCTTTCCTCATTTTTTCACCAAGCTCTTTCACTTGTTCCGCTGTGAGATCGCCTCGAAGGTTAGGCTGCGACTGAAACGGAGCATGTTTCACTTCCACATTCGGAACAGTCACCACTTCGTCGATTGGAATATTCGACATGTCTGACGCAGAACTGCTTCTATTACCACCTTCAGCTCCTTGAGCAGCCATTAACGTCGGAGAAGAAGGTTTATTTTCTTTTGTATTGAGGTCGTTCAACGAGCTCCCATCCGCCATTGCCCAACACAACAATAGTTCGTTCCCAGTCTTCCTCTCTAGCATCACAGATGATTTATTTTTAATCCTTACGTCATCTTTTTTGGGCAACGCGCGCCTTTTCAAACAACTTTGATGTGCAATACATTAATTACATTTCTGTGCTATATTTTAAAATTCCTTTTCTGTATATTTTTCATTTTGCTTCTACATCATCCTTTTTTATATCTCTTTCTATTAATTTTCAGTGTAAGCCCACTAGCGTTCTATCACGAATGCCGTTCTCTGATTGGCTATGGGTAGCGTAGCATTGAGCGGTTGTTAAGAAACTTGCATCAGCTTCTTTGCGTTTTCGAAGTGTCTGTGAAGAGGACTTAGATAAAACTTTGAACGACTAGTAGATTTATACTAAAACAGGCTAAAACAATTAAATTATTGGCTCTCGATTTCTTTGCGTGATATAAATCTCGATCTCATAATCTAATTGTTTAATTATCATATGTGTTTAGTTCATGTATTCTTTTTATTGTTCTCTTTATTTTACATGCATTTTATTTTTTTTTTTAATATTTGCTCGATATTTTTTTCGTTCTGAGTAGGCAACACGAACTAAAACAAACGTTTTTGTCGTATTTCCAGCTAGCTTGGTTTAGTTTCACTTCAATTTACGCCTGTTTTTCTGTAAAATTCCAGTTTTTAAGGGACACTGTCACGTTATGTTTGCTTAAACTGTTACAAATTTAAGAAAAAGGTCCCTAAATTTACATAATAAGAATTTGATTAATTCTAACTAAATGATAAAAACAAAATTTCTTGAAGAAAGTCCACACTGCAGCAACATTTTTGCAAAATTTCAACGATTTTCGAGCCAAACTTGAACCTTTGAAAAACTGAAGTAATGGCGCTTTTTCAAAAATCCCTCACAGTCCGTTTCCATCCTCGCCATCGTTAGCCATCCTCACTTCCTAATGGGTTCTAATCATTTGTCGAGTACTGCTCTACAAAATAAAACCATTATTGTTCAGCTTCCAATGATCGAGATATGTTTTAATTTGAGATTTCCAAATCATGCTAAAAATGGTGACAGTGTCCCTATAAGCCCTGGGTTCATACAACTTCTTAAGGGGTTTCCGGTGGACCTATAAACAGGGGGTAGTATAAGGGCGGAGGGGGCGGCTTATAAGAGGTTTAAAAACATTTTGAAATAAGCCGGTGAAACCAACATCCAGCAGCATAAAAGGATGATAAACAAATATGCAAAGCACTTAGGTCCTTATATGAAACTTCCTCGTGATGGCAAATACAGGCCTATAACCGCTGAACGTACTACCGACGTTTTACGGTATACATCTCTAAGTTCAGTAACAAACAAGTCAATTAGGAAATTGAATATTACCATTTAGTAATTCGCGACATGTAATTTCTCTTTCCAACATGGGTACGTTTGTCTAGAGGACAGTAAGGAGAATTTATATGATCATCAACTTGGGGATCCTTCCAGTGGTGATGTTTTCCTGAACAAATCCTATGAAGGAACTGCCTAAGGACAATAAAAACTTGCACGCACTGAGAACATAGACACATGAAAAAAAAAAAAATTTCACAGAGACCGCTGAGCGTCAACAGAAAGTTTAATGATCTCATGAGGGAAACTACAAGCTACATTTTTGATCATTTTTTGTTTAAGTTAGTTAACTTTCAGTTCAATCTTCGGGGTCAAACTCAACGGGACCATTCATGAACACACCTGTACCTGACCTGTTGGAAAATGAAACTTGTTTAGTCATACTAAATCTGAGAAAGTTGAGAAAGAGGGTAATGGAAGGACTCTTGTACATAAGGATGCTGTACCGCAAGCTGAGTCCGCGAGGCGTAACAGTGCAACTGAAGTCAGATTCCCTATAATTCTGTTTAATTTTCCTCTGAGTTTTAAATAATTCATTATAAAAATAGCAGATATTTCACTTGTTTGCACTAAAAAGAAAACTATTCAAGTTCATGTACAAACAGCAGACTGCAAGTAAGTAAGTAAGTAAATAAGTAAGTAAGTAAGTAAGTAAGTAAGTAAGTAAGTAAGTAAGTAAGTAAGTAAGTAAGTAAGTAAGTAAGTAAGTAAGTAAGTAAGTAAAAACTTTATTAATGTGTCAATGTATTTAGTTTTCACAACTAATTGGGGACACAACAAGAAGGTTTGATCGAATCTTGTCTCTCGCAGGATTCGTGATGTACAAAATTACTGGGGTCTAATTGACATGATTATACCCAATCTCGGCACAATTTCCTAAGCGCAACAAACAACAAAAGGCTTTAGTTTGGATTTGTGAAGACGAATTTGACTCACTACAATGGGCCATTTCTTGATACGTGTTAGCAGGAAAGACTGAAGCGACTCCGGCTGTTAGGAGAGCAACATGATCAGTACGTTGGACAAAACTGTTCTGGATCGACGTTTTACAAGAAAATAAACCAAAACAAGCAAAGTAACGCAAATAGTTTTGCGTTAGTTTGTGAACCGCTTTATTAAATTCCACACATGAAAGTTACTTTCATATAGATCAGGCAATGAAGACTTGCGTTTCAGCGTATCCACATTTGCTAACTGAATCACAAGCCCTCCGGCTCCACCGTCCCTGATTTTCTCGCAATTTAATTCTTGCACACCAGCATGAAATAACTTTGTTTGGTTTGCCTTTGAGGGTAGTATTACAACTTCAATCAGTCTTTCCCTATTAAAACCGCTGATGTATCACAGGATTATAATGCTGCTTAGATGAATTATTGCACCGTAAGAATATAAATGTACGTCGTTTCACTGAATGATTCTCACCTCTAGATACTTTCTGGTGCCAACACAAGGATCACCAAACTGGCCGTTTGTTGCCTCCAAAACGCATTCTTGCTTTCCGTCGCAATTATGTGTCACTTTAGCCTGCGATACAGCAGCTCCGCAGTTTGTGGTTTTTACCGGGCCGGGACAGATATGTCCCCCAGTCAAACGACCATAGTTTGCGGACACGATGTGAAGTTTCTGCGGAGCTTTGCAATGAATTGTTTGTTTGGCGCCTTCGCAAACTCTCACCAGCCAGCCATCATCAAAGAGTTCTGTTTTATGAACGCACTCATACTTTACCTGTGGATTGGTAACGCATCTACACTCAGCTTGATTAAGGAAATTTGTTTAAGAGTATAGGCTTTTGTTTTGGGACTCACTCAGGCGCGAGCTCCTCCTTAGATAAGCCTGTTAGTAAGCAAGCAAGTTATGAAAACAAAGTTATGAATGCATATATGAACTTATATCTGCTTTTATATGAACTTATATGAAGTTATATCCGCCTTTAGTTACTAATATTCTTTACAATTGCAATATCCTATATTTCGTAAACAGTTTAGGTAGGAACTTGCCACTAGGAATCAAGATATAAACTATCTTCTCTTTCAGTCCCCTTTGAAGGAATATAACGTTGAGCCCACCTCAAGATATTTAAAGGTCCCAACGCACGGGTCTCCAAAGGCCGAGTTCTTAGCGTGCAGAGTGCAGCGGGGCTGTCCCTGGCACTCAAACCTAGCCACCCTCATTGAGGTCCCAGCATGGCAGTTCGTGTCTTTGTTCAGTATATGACTACACATGTCCTGCTTTGTGCGTCCATACGATGCACTCAGAATATTGATCTCCTCTGTATCACGGCAGGTTATTGTCATCACTTGGTGCTCACAAACCCGACTTTCTTTCTCTAAAAATGAATAAATAATAAATAGCTAAATGAAGCTACTTTATAAGGTAAGGTAAGGTAAGGTAAGTTAAGGTAAGGTAAGGTAAGGTAAGGTAAGGCAAGGTATGGTAAGGTAAGGTAAGGTAAGGTAAGGTAAGTTAAGGTAAGGTAAGGTAAGGTAAGGCAAGGTATGGTAAGGTAAGGTAAGGTAAGGTAAGGTAAGGTAAGGTAAGGTAAGGTAAGGTAAGGTAAGGTAAGGTAAGGTAAGGTAAGGTAAGGTAAGGTAAGGTAAGGTAAATTTATTTAGAGTCGTAAACGTAGGGAGTGGTTGCCCAATCTCCCGAGCCGAGGGCTCGTGATAAAAACGCATGACTATTTTTCAAAATTGCCTGTAAAGGTAAGGTAAGGTCTGCGAGCCAAGTGGCTCATCAGGCGGGAACGTATCCCGGTTTGAGTAGCATGAAGGGAGTAGTTCTACTTGCCCCTGGATGGCGGATGCTAGTCCATCGCAGGGTTACTCGCCAGCAGAAAAGTTCACCGGTACCTATTTATACACCTGGGTGGATGGAGAGAGGCAATGTGGGAGTAAAGTGTGTAGCTCCAGAACACAACACACTGTCCCCGGCCAGGGCTCGAACCCGGACCGCTCGCTCCAGGGTCGAGCGCGCTAACCATGAGGCCACCGCGCCTCCCACCATTATTGCCCGTGTGTAGACAATTGTCCAACCCGGGAGAGATAGTAGTAACCTGTATGAGCTATATAGGCTTGTGGCGAACTAAAAAGTATGGACTTTGAACTGTTTTGGTCTGAAAATAGCTCGCAAAGTTTGCCATTTTGATATGAAAATGGGAATTGGCTTGCTTTCTGCCCTGAAATTAGGTGTGGTTTTCAACGAAACTGCAAAAGGTTTCTATCTCTTTTTATTGGCTCATTTTGTCCCCAAGCCAGAAAGGGAGAAGACGTTTGAGTAACCTAATCATAATACGTATTGCCTAGGACTGTAATCAATCGGTATACCATTTAACCAGATAATTTTACTTGCTGCTGCTGCTGGGGCATAAGAAAGACAATAGAACGTTTCGCTGGTTGAGCTTCAGTTGTAATAACAGCAGGAAAGCTTGTAGCTCTATTTATATTTTTTTATCACTAGTTTGTATGGGTAAGCAGGCAAGCCGCTGGTGCCCTTTTAATTTGGAATCTAGCCAACTTAACAATGCTGAAAACTGTTTTCCAAGCATTCTGACCTCGGCCCTATATATGAGAGGATAAATCACAGAGCTACTAAATTGAAACCGAGGTGAACAAAGTAAATTGGGTGAGAAAACGGTGTTTACCTGCGCTAACAAATGCCACTGCGAGGAAACAAAAAGCCAATAGATGTAGCATCATCGTTTGTAACTTGAATCTGTAATATCTGTAACTGTAACAGAAATCAGCAGTCGCATAAGGACTTCATCTGACCCCCTCCTTGTTCTCAGAAGAATCCTCATGTTCCCATTTTCTTCAGATACGTATTCCCTGATCACCGCTGATAAAACTGTTTGAAAACTTTTTCCCCTTTTCTCCAAATAGGTCGCTCTGTTTTCCGCTACCCCGAAGAGGACGCCCTTGTCTTTTTGCTTCGTGAAATAGCGTCCTTGCTTACGCTGTTTCTGTAAAATAAAGCCCTTTACTCGAGTGAAAATAAATCAATTCGATTCGACATTCTAAGACAATAAAGATGTGTGCTCTCCCTTACCTGAAAATAGAATGTCGAATTAATACATAAAACGAAGACTCTCCCTGAATAAGTGGAAATGTTGCGTTGTCTCTAAATAAGTTGAAATGTTGTAAGAGGCTTTGGTCTCCTCACGGACTGATACTTACTTTTTGATACTGATTTTTTCTACTTGGGCGGCTTCAACCGATGTGGGTTTTCACCTTTGTCTACGATAGAATTTTAATTTGAGCCTTCAAACTGGCTTACTGCAGCTCTCTCTCCCTGTTTGCAACTAACATTTTCAATGACCTAGCAACTGGTATCGATTTTCAATATCACAGTATTCTTTCTTGTTCGGCTTATTCTTTCATACAGCGTAAAAGTAGATTATTGTGACAATAATTCTTACCTTTTTCGTGTAACAATGGAACAAGCAACCAAATCAGTTGTGATGAGAAGAAACTTATATTCGTCTTTTTTAAGACCTCTTTGGAGAATGTTTGTTGTAAAAATGTGTTCATTATTAATTTGTGCTACCCCACAAATATTTGTCGAATTTATTTTTTCTATAATTAAATTAAATATTTCTCAGAATGATTATCTCAATAACAAAATATGAGTAGCAGGATTTTTCCTCACGCTTTTGTGACTAAATACAGTTATTTAACTAAAACGAAATAAGGAGGTATGAGACACTGATTCAAGCCGTGTTTGGTCTTGTTCGTCACTGTAGATATGATTAAATTAAACAAATAAGAGCACGGAGAACCCATGTTTTCATTTTATTCTGCATATTGAATACAGTTTGTTTGACAAACACAACGCACCCACATCTCGTTTAGTTATATTATTAAATGATTTGATTAATACAATATAAATAATGGGATTCCTTCAGCGTTTAACTTTGCATATTTTTCTTTTGCTTTTTTATCTTAATTATTTTGGAGCGTATCTGTAAACTAGCTTACAGCCGTTGAATCAAGGCAAAACACTCCCTTGGTTAAAGCTGGGATACAATCTTAATTATTTTGGGGTATATCTGTAATAATGAGTATTTTGCATCCAATACTGAGGTGCAATTGCTACTTTTATTATGTGCTATCAGTAAATGATTTGACAAACCGGCAAAACATAACCAACGAGATCCTCGTTTGGTGTTTTATTTTATTTCTTTTTTCTTTTAATTTTCATCGTTATTATTTCATGGCTTACCTGTAAACATGTATAAGCTTGTATCTGATACAGCTTAAGGAATCACCCTTACGTTTAATAAAGGATTAATTTAATTAACGGATTGATATTGAATATTATTGAATATCTTTAAGAAAACAATGAAACACTTTTGTTATATGTTTAATTAGCAAAGTGTAAACAACGAGATGCTGGTTTATTACTTTGTTCATTAAAATTTAAACGATAAGTTACTCGGCGTTTTGTAACATACAGTGTAAACACGCGTGTCTCGAAGAAGCCAGCTTTTTCGATGCCCTACACAAGAGTGGCGCGGTTGCTAATGCAACCCGGCCGGGTTACATAAGTGACACGTTTATGGTTTTGTTATGCGTATTAAGGGACAACATGACGGCGATTTTGCTGTATTTACGGTCAAACCAATGCTAACGATTACAACCGAGTACCTTCACACGAATAAGAAACTTCTCCTAAAACAACAAGATAAAGAGAGAATAAATTGCAATTTGCGTTTTAGTGATATTTCCGTGATACTGATGACCAGAGACTGTGAAAAAAATCCACGAGACTCCTTCAATTTGACATCACAACCTTATGAAAATGTCCTTTTCGTAACTTAGAACTCACTTAAATTTAGATTTTAACAAAACTAGATCATTTTTATAAGTTTTCTTTTGATGGAAAAATAGATATTTCACTTTCTGAGTTTTATTTTGGTGGTCATGCTTGCGACAGAGCTCACAATTTAATTGTGATTAGATAGTATGTTGAAATGAACTTATAAACAGCTTCTTGATCTTCGCAAACGATTTCAAATTATTTGTATTTTTCAATTCTAGCTGCAGCGACGTCTCCCTTTAACCTATCCGGTTCTTATTTTTCTAATTGTTATTCCCTCCAGATATTGGAAATCGACTGACAGACAAATCTAGCCCACTTCTTTCGCTGATTGCGTGTTGACGGGACGCACGGGGCTTCTACTGTAAGTACCGCAGAGAAATGGTAGGAAATTTTCCTAGCATTTCTTACATACTCGTCTTGCGGCCAGGGAAGGCGTCATAATCTGTTTCAGTGACAAGCCGATGATATTAAATAAAAAATAAAACAGAAAGGGCCGATGAAATATGAGAGAAGCTTTAAAATGAAGTCACGATATTAACAGTGCTTTAAAAGTAAATATAGTGCGTTCGAGTCATTCCCCACGCTTTCAAATGATAGCGGACTCCACCGACGCCAATAATCTGGAACAAAACAAAGTCATTATATATCGGATCACGTCTAAACACA